AGGAACACGGACACAACTAGGCTCTGGAACGACTACGTGTTCTAAATTGCTACTCGGTAGAACAAACCGCACTCGGCTACACTGTTTTCTTCAAAGGACGAACACAGTACATTCAAGGCGGAAATCAGCAGCACGGCGGGACAACATGGACCAGGGGCCAAGTCCGATGTGATGCACGGATCAGGTGTTGATCTGCACCGGACAGTCGCAGGGCAGACGAGGAGGATCAACCCAGAACTGCTGGATGAAGGAACGTATCCCACATCACAAGACTTCCTCCAACTACCGCCACGTACTTCCCGGTACAATGCCGCTGCGAGATTAGTCTACCTCTAATCCCTATCACAAGACTCCCTCCAGCTACGACAAGATATACAAGAACTATAAAATAAGCCCGGGGGCTGCTATACTTCACAAACTATCATATTCATGACTACGGAGATTTCAGACCACGCAACAAAATGCTCGATGAATCAAAACAGCACACCAGGAGGGTATTTATAGACCAAAGAAGCGGTGCACATGGACCAGGAGCACCAACGGAACAAACCTAACAAAAGATACAGTGAAAAGACAGAATTTAATGAAAGAGGACTCAAACGTGAAGGAACAGTACTAAAAAACGAGCATATTCGGAAGAATATACCAACACTGTACAACTCATGAACAAACAACATTTACACCCAACCACCACCATACAACTACATCTGACAACAGCAGACTATTAGGGAATATGCCAAGATTCTATATCCGAGTTCTTTTTGAATAAAAGAACCTAGATATATGCTCGGGGCTACAACAGGAGAGGTTTTCAGTTCTTTGAACAACTCAGATTCAAGACCATCCAATTCATTCGAGTTCTTTTTGAATAAAAGAACCCAGATATATGCTCGGGGGCTGCAACAGGAGAGGTTTTCAGTTCTTTGAACAACTCAGATTCAAAATCCTCCAACTCTTTGTTCCAAATAGCAAGAGGCTCGGGGGCTACACTCAGTGAGTGCACTTTCTTCTTCAAAAAAGCGCACATCACTCAGAAGACTTCTTCAAGACAGGCGTTTTCAAACAACATAAGATTTAAGACCCTCCAACTTTTTGTTCCAAATAGCAAGAGGCTCGGGGCTACACTCAGTTAGTGCACTTTTTTCTTCAAAAAAGCGCACGTCACCAAGAAGACTTCTTCAAGACAAGACCCTCCAGCTCCTTATTCCAAATAGCAAGAGGCTCGGGGGGCTACACCTAGATGGGAGTACTTTTTTCAAAAAAAGTACACACCACCCGAAGATCTCACGAAGCGCTACATGGTTTCGCTCAAGAAAGCACTTGGACGACGCATGTTCCTACTCGGCAAGATCTAAAGGAACAAAACGAGGCTTCCAGAGCTCAACCATGAAGTGCTCGGGGGCTTGTTGATGCGGGACACATGGGATACCCCGCAAGGAAGAGAGAAGATCTAGTCTAACTAGGATTCTTTCCCTGTAATCTTAGTAGTAGTATTATTCTGTAATCCTACTAGAAAGTCTCATTGTAAACCGACTAGGACTCCGGCCTCCTGACTATATAAAGGAGGGCGGGGTTCCTGGAGAAACACAACGGACAATCAATCCAACGCAAAGGCTAACGCTGACTGGACGTATGGCTATTACTCGATCACGGTCGAGGGCCCAAACCAGGATAAATCGACTGTCTCTTGCGTTAACCGTCGAGTTCTGCATACGCTGAAGCCCGAACAAACTGCCCCGGGTACCCCCGTGGTAGGCTATCGGTGGTGAAACATCGACAGGTGCCGCAGCGATGCTCGGAGTAGAGGAAGCAGCGACGTGGAGGCGCGGTCAGTGGCGGCGGAGACTGCGATGACGCTTCCTGTCGCTCACAGCACAGCCTCGGGATCGGTCTAGGGTTATGTCGTCGGTGGGGCGCTGGCGGCTGGTCAACCTCGTACCTTGCGCCCCGGCCCCCACCTTCCTCTTTATAGTACTGCGCGACGGGGGCTCATCAGCCAGGAGAACGGCTGGGCGCCCCTGATCAGGGCGCGGATCAAGGGCCCAATTAGCCGTTGGGCCAACTTGGTGAAGATCAACCTGACAATGGTATGTTCAGAGGTCTTCAACATTGATATTGAAAACAATGCAAGGATCATGTAGGAATGGAACCAATGCATAAGGATTTACTTCACTAAACTGCATCATAACCTAATTACTCATATGCTTTTATTTGAATGGAGCCAGAATTGAAAACTAAGATATGATTACAGAGAACGTGTTTCAACTGAGTATAGATGATGCCTTTGGTCATTATCTTACATATCTTAATTCTTAAGTGTACCCAGAAATTTCAGAACTTGGAGAACCCTTTGATGGACCTCAAAACATTTGACCTCGGCTATAAGGTGTTGCGATATCATAGTTGATTTCCCAGTTGCATCAGGGCGACCTTCGACTACCACGTCATATTTGAGTAGAACCTTTAGCATGCAATCAAATGAAGTTATCACGATTAATACATAATATTGTACTATATATATAACTCAATCTGCAATGGTATAGTTGTTTTCTACGTACCGTGCGAGAGAAAAGGACAGTGAGCTTCTCTAAAACAGGTGTGTGTTTAAGCATACACGCTAGTGCACTGCAATCTGTAGATAGAACTTGTTTTTATCTGCAATACGCGAACATGAAACTATATATATAATTTACTCAACAAGTTCAGATGGTGGGAATGCATGAGTGTGGATATATATAATTGCTATCAGCAGGGAAATTTTTTGAATGGAACACATATATGTACAGGGGTGAAAGACATATCTGGGTGTACCGTTGAGTGATCCGCTATCAGCACTAGATCTTTAGCTTGTGCTAAACCTTCAAGAACCACACACTTTGTGGTATTTTGTCCAGCATAATCTTCTGAACCTTCCTCATCGTCGCTATCAAACTCAATATCTGAAGTATCACCAGCCCGCATAACGTGATAACAAGCCATGCGATCATCACAATCGCACTTATCCTGATACGAGTCAATCCGGACCGTTGCCTCAATCACAGTTCCCCGATCATGCAATTCACTTCAAACAGAGAGGGAGGCTGTCGCAGGGAAATGGGGATGCAGCATTGCGCGCGCGCGGCGAGATGTCGAGATGGAGCGGCGGCGGCCGGAGGGGTTGGCGATTTTCCCTTCAAGTACGTTAAGTAAAAGCAGCATCTCGTCAATCGGGTTGGGCCTTGGGCCTTGGGCCATGGGCCATGGGTATGGACCAGGTTGCGCTCCTTGCTGCTGTGTACGTACTTGTGTATGCTGGGCAGGCTAGCCCAAGTTACACACACCCCAAGACAGGATCATTATGTGTCGTTTGAATGATTGAATCCTATAGGGGATTCTGAGAATCCAGTTAAAAAGAATCCCAATAATTCTATTGAATTTTGATATTTTACAAATCCATGAGTTAAAATCTCTCTTAAATATAGACAGTTTGGATAAGATATTAGGATTATAGGATTTTTTTTTATCCGAATTCTCAAAATCCAAAGGATTCAAATGGGGCCTACTCCTAGCTAGCAAAATGTGATCAAGGAACTGGCAAAGTGATGTATGCCCATCTTCTTGTGTGGGAATTGGATCAGTGAGAGCCTGAGAGGACTTTAGTCTAATTCTTCTACAAAGTATAAAGTACTCCCTCCATCCAAAAGTATAAAAGCGTCTTAGCAAAATTGATGTTTTTTTACAGTGAAACCCGTGGAATTATTCAATTCCATAAGAGCACTTTGGCTATCCACATGAAAACAACAACAGTGGATTTGTCTAGTACTTATGCCCCCCCCCCCCTTTTTTGCGAGACGTACTTACTTATGCCCATTTAATAGATAATGAACCAGAAATTATATCTAAAGTTGATAATAGTGTTAATCTAAAATTTCATAGAGTTAATAAATCAAAAGGGATATTAGTGTTAATTTAAAATTACATAGAATTAGTAAATCAAAAGGGATATAGGAATCTGAAATAGAAAAATTTCTTGGAAGGTTGAGCCCGGTTTCCTGAATTGCTGAATCATTCTCTAATTCCAAGAGTCCATTATGATTAAAGATAAGAGTTCTTATTAATTAGGGTTGAACAAAACTTCCAGCAAATAACCTTTTAGAGATCTAAGTTCTTATTAATTAGGGTAAAACAGAACTGCTAGCAAATAACCCTTAGATACAGCCAAGAAAGGTTTGTGTACAGGGCACGGGCAAGAACACGAATGATCCATTTGTACACATCACGGAAGATCTCATAAGTACATTAAGGCAAAACAATTCAAAGGAGGGAGGCACGCAACAGGGTCAATAGCACCAATCGAACTGTATTGTTGCATGAGGATGACTCCTACCGGAGAATAGGTGCCAGATTGACATGATTTGACAGAAGTGCAAAGTGCTATTATCAACTAAACACATATGGCCTCATTAATTAACTTTAATGTGAACATCAGTTAGCCTGACAATTCCTATAGCGTACTACACGGATAGGAGAATCAAACCAAGTAAGTTCAAAATCTGAGAACGTACTCTGAATCAGTGAGTCTATCTTGCAAGCCTGTTAATAATTAAGTTCTCATGAATGCTAAATCCTAAAATAGTTCCATAAGGTTCATCATTTGCCTTTACAATGCTTATATTCATATACTTGTAAATAATGTAATAGGAAATTCAAAAGCTACATGGGATTCATAGTTTTCCACCTAGTTTCATCTTCCGCCCAACCTCTGACTTTGAGTGTTTCAACTAGACATCATGCTGATGATAAAAAGATTGTTCTTGGATAAAAAAGCAGAATTCTCGTCACCAGCAACAAATCACTCTATGCAAACCTAGGACTTCCCATGCAAACAATGAAGTTCCTGTGGACAATCACGTTTGATAACACATCAATGTACTATCACTGCGATCAGCTAAGCTGATTTTTCATTGCCCTGACAAAAGATCAATACCTTTTTGATGAATGATGGAACCTGGAACTCCTTTTCAAGTCACTATCTCAACTATGGTGATCACGGCAAAGGCCAAGAACAGGCTCCCTCCAATGTATGCTATAATCTGCACAGGGCAATGTTTTGTTTCAGTGAAATTATGTAGACAGACTTTATGAAATGAATGGTCCACATAATTTATCAAAGATTTTATTAGCAAGCCAACAGTTGTTTTCTACACTAAAGTATGTAATTTGTTTAATGGATGGGAAAAAAGGATTCCCTTTCTATTACACGGTTAACTGCCTAAACAATTGTGATGGATCAAACTGACAAACACGGTGAAAGGCAACTTACAAATTTGACGTATTTTAAATTTTGCAGTGGTCAAACGCTGCAAGATAGGAAATTTCAGTTGCTATGGTACAATTAGTTTCCTAATTTACCTTTTCAGAAAGGAATGTTCCCAGCAAAGAGCCACCAAGAACTGCAATCTGTTGGAAGAAATGTGTTAATCTCAATTTTTCCTGGAAAACCAAAGAAGGAAATATAAAAAATTGCGGCACAATAACTGATTGGTATGCAATGACACATTTGCTCCTTGTACTCAATCAACAACAGAAATTCTTTTATGGCGAATACTCCAATGGAGCCAAGTCAGTGCAGAATAGCAAACTTCCTAATTCCCAACATTAGAGAAGACTCTTACAAGAAACAAATACTGAGGGAAAACAGACCAATGAACTGACCAATGGTGAAAGTGCTAAAAAATTGTCTGCTCGATAGCAATATTATTATGCTCATTGCTCAAGCATGTTAGTCATGAGTGTTCCTGCAAACCAATGTTGTTTGCAGTGCAAAAGTTTGACTTCAGTTATCTGGTTTCAAGTCTCAACTCTCAACCTATTACTATGCGTATCTTACCAATGTTGCAACGGCATGACCAGCAAGTGATCCTGCAATGACACCCAGAGGGGATGAAGCTGCCGCAAGTGCTGCCAAGGTATTGGAAAGTAGTGTCAATGTTAATTATGCTCATGGAAATCTGAAGATTTATAAGGCAGAGTTAGGAGATGTACCAATTGTGGAAAAGAATGATTTATCACCCCATTCAGCGACAAAAACCAATACGAATGTGCTAGCGATAGTACCAGCGGCAGACATAACCCCAGCACCATTTCCAGAAAATTTTGATACTGCTAACTCAGCCTACAATGGTTCAACATAGTTTTATAGAGGAGAGAGAAGTATGTTCAAGCACAAGAATTTTTTTTCTCAAACGACGCAGGATTAAACATGAAAACTAAAAATGATGTTCTTGGCACAGCTTAAAGTCCTACCTCCTCTTGCTCCTCATTGATCTTTTCATCATCACCTGAAGCTGCATCAAGTAATGTAGTAACCCCATAATAAACCTGAATCCGTTAAAGTTGTGCATGAATAATAAAGTATGTATTAACTTCACACAAGAATTCAAGAGTAAAAGCCACACATTCCTTTAAAAAAATCCAAGCACATTTTCGATTTCTTTGTGTGTAACAAATGTGCATAATCCTTACCAAGAGACATGCCGCAGCGATGTCATCAACTGGGAAATCAGTACCACCAAAGCTGCATGCAACAAGACATTGGGTAAATGAGAGCACCCAATAGAAACTCTACTTGCACAGTTCAGATAATTACCCGAATGGGATGATGCCATCAACATAGTGAAATGCTCGACCAAGAACTACGGATATAACGGTCATTACCCTGATAATCACCAGAAAAAAAAATTCTATATGTAATGCCAGACATTCTGGGAACTTCAATTATGAAGCTAGCATTTAAAGGCTGCGACAGTATTGAAGATGAAACATAGAATACAAGAAGCATGAAAATACTTACGCAAGAGCTCCAAATGTGCCAAGAAAAATGATTGCTCCAGAACTTCTAGCCGCTAACAGTGCCTACCAAACACATGCAGCTGCAGCATTTATCAGACTCATTTTAGTATATATTACTGGAAATTTATTGTATGGTATAGATGCGAAGCAAAGCAATTTGCAAGAATCAAACATATTTTAGGAAATAGAAAATATTTATTTCATGACATTTACAGCATTTACTAACACAGTCTCCCTTGAATACCCATATCTGTGCAGCACGTCTGTCTAGAGGTCCTAAAATCTATATATCCTATATAACTAGAACCCAGTCAGTGTCATTAATACTAGTTTTTCCCTTCTCTCACAAAGCCACGTCGTCACTATTGTTTTCAACCACGTGATCTTAAAATCTTAAACAATCATCTTATATTGGCCGTCTGTTGACCTCTGTCCTCACTGCATCTGTGCTGCTTCAACTCCTTTGGTGGTTTCAGTTGCCACTGTGGATACCAACAAGCAAATCTATATACATCAATCAAACGGCTGCCCTTCGGCCCTCCATCTTCCACTTAATACTTCCGTAATACACCCTGAACCCATAATTATCCTCCATAAGACCTCCTCACATCCAACAGAATACATCCCCTCGATTCTCCTGCTATCTCTCGTTCCAATGAATCTGAGAGGTCACCAATGTGATTCTTCATTCCTGCAGTAGCCTCTTGCTGTTCTGGCATGCAAGCAGAGGCCTTAGTTGCTGCTCCATAGCCCATGCTTGGGGAGTTGGGGAGACAGCAGTCTGCACCATCGGCATAACATGCTTTTGTTTTGCTCCAGTTATACTACATTCTGTTTTGCTTCAATTCCTGTCAGGCAGCTAACCCTGCTGCAATCTGCATTTTATTTCGGCAAGGCACCAGTTGCGTTCATACAGGTACAAATTGGATGTTCAGTGTTGTGTTGGCAAGATGTTTTCAGTTTATAGTCTACACTCTTCAGCCTAAGAGTTAACATACGGGTTAAGCAATCAAACTGTTCGTAATCGTAAGTACATCTGACGCGACAGAACAATCTAACTGTGTTTGTGCAGCGAACACTAGTAACTTACCGCAATAAAGAATGTTCGGTCCCCTAGCTCAGAAAAGAAGATCAACAGGAAAGCCTGAAATTCAGAACAAAAGTGGATAGAAAGATTAACGACCAAGCAATTCGCATATAAAAGGAAATGCATCTGAATACAACAATCAATCTTCAGGTAATTGTACATAACAAAAAAATATATATATGAGCATGGAAATCATCAAAGAGCAGAGGCAGTTGTCCTAACTGAAGCAAAACCTGTACTGATATCCCCGAGATCCCCCAGCACGTCCGCCGTCTGCAGGCCAGCGAACTGCGTGGCGGCGAGCGCCTGCTGCGACCCCTGGAGAAGTAGCACCCCCGCCACGGTCGCGAACGCGAGCCCGCACGACGACGCGTCGAACTGCGCGGGCCTGGACGACCCTCCCTGACCCGCTGGCCGGGCCGCCTTCCGAGCCGACAAAAACCCAGCGCCTCCTCCAACCGGCTTCGCCGAGTCGCATTTCGGGAAGCACCTCAGCACCTGCAGACACGATCCGGCGCCAGGTGGTCCGACAGCAGTCAGTCGAAAGCAAGGAGGGCGGGGTGGGTTTGGCGACCGGGAGGCGTACCGAGTGGCCCGGCCGCAGCGGTAGCCTGGCGCCCTGGCGACGCGGCAGCGGGCGGAGAGACGGGCGATGCGTCCTTGCTCGGAAGGCAGTTGAGGGGGAGGAGGAGAGTACGGTGGAGCAGGAGCAGGTGCAGGAGGCGGCGGCGGCGGCGACGGCGACGGAGGCCATGGCGCCGCGGCCGCGGTAGTGGTTGTGAGGCGTGGCGGGAGTGAGCGGACGGACCTCCGCTTTCTCTCGGCCGTTGCTAGTGGATAGATGAGCTCGAACGGAAGACTGGTGGTCCGCTTCCGCGAACGGGCCCGGATTCGTGTGACGTATTGGGCTGGCCCACTATTCTGGATCAGCCCATTGTTATAGCTCTAGTTCGATTCGAAGTGTTTCTCTTCGGCCACGGCGTTCTTCTGCCCAGTTCCTCGTCGGTTCGGAATCGGAGCACGTACAGGATCCGGATCGGAGGGGGGTTGCATCGCAACCGATCGGTCGAAGGGTCGCCGCACCATATATACTGCCAGCCTCCCTCTTCGTCTCAACCAGCAGATCTACTAGCGCAGCAGCAACTAGCCTTCATCTACTAGCGAAGCAGCGTCAGCGATCCATGGCCGCCGTCTCCGAGCTGGAGGAGGAGGAACCGGCCGAGGAGAAGAACAATGCGTCTGTGGTGCTTGCGAGAAGCTTGGCGAAGGCATGTTCGGCAACGTGTACAAGGCCTGGGACCGCGTGCTGGAGCGCTTCGTCGCCGTGAAGCGGCTCTCGCGGAGGACCGACGACCGCTTCGTGGCGACCCCTCTCCCCGAATTCGAGCGGGAGGTCATGTCCCTCGCGGCGTGCCGCGGCCACCCTTCCGTCGTCCAGCTCCTGGCCGCGTACGCCGACTGCGGCCGCGCCGACGGCGACTGCTTCGTCGTCACGGAGTACGCTGGGCCCATGAACCTGCGCAAGTACATGGACGTCCGGCGCCTTAACGGCCAGCCGTTCGACGAGGACGAGGTGCGCGACGTCATGAAGCAGCTCCTCTGCGCGCGAGGCACGCGCACATGGCGGGCATCTTGCACAGGGACATCGTCCCAGAGAACGTGATCGTCGACATGGACGCCGCGAGCGGCAGGATGGTGTACAAGATATGTGGCTTCGGCATGTCGAAGCCGGCGGCGCAGGCGGACAAGGACGACTCCGGGCCGCTGGCGTCGGCCAGCCCGTACCGCGCGCCGGAGCTTTTCCTGGGATCCAAGGACTATGACGGCCGGGTCGACACGTGGTCGCTCGGCTGCATCATGGCCGAGCTCGTCGCCGGTAACGGCGTGCCTTTCTTCTGCGCGCCGGACGGCGAGGTCTTCAAAAAGATGCTGCAAAGTGGTTGGCACAGAGGGCATCATCGAGTGGCAGGGGCTGGAGCGCGTGGTGCCGGCCGAAAAGGTGGCCTTCCTTCGAAAGATGGTCAGCGAGGAGGGCGGTCACCTGCAGCTGCAGGAGGGGTTCCCGCCGGAGGTTGTGTCTCAGGCTGGGTTCAAGGTTTTGGAAGGACTGCTGGATAGCAACCCAGACCGCAGACTCTCAGCAGCGGCTGCGCTTCGCAAGCAATGGTTCCGGCACGGTTGCTTGTTCGGTGCCTGGTGCTTCATGCCTCGTGCCGACGTTGCCCCTTAATTGCTCGCATAAGCATCTGCGTGCTGCGTAGTAGAGTAGTACTTTAAGATTAAGACAAAATGTGAGATCAATGGAAGAATGTTAGGTTAATCTCTCCATCAAGATTGGCCCAACGGTCAACTTGGGCCTCGATTCCGTGCCCTGATCGGGGGCGCCCAACCCTATATGGTTAGTGTGTCCCGTCGCACTGCGCTATATAAAGAGGAGGGGGCTGGCGGGATCTACTTTTCTCACATGCTGGCCGCCACCGCTGGCCGCCAGATGGCGCCGCGCGGGAAGCAAAAGTCGAGCCACCGCACGGCGCTGTTTCGCCGGCGCACAGGCCGGGGCTCAGGGCACCGCCCCACGGCCGCTCGACGGTGGCGCGCTCGCCCGAGGGTGAGCGCGCGCGCTAGCGAGAGGCCTCGTGGTGGCACCGGCGCCTTCCTGCGGCTGCCACGCGTGGCCGCCGCTCCGTCACCTTCGGGCACCTCCAGCGAGAGAGAGAGGAGAAGGTGAGAATGAGGAATTAAGCTTGGGTTTGGGGGTGTGGCGGCGGCGGGGGGTGTTTGTTATTCCGAAATCTCCTCCCAGTCGTCTGATGAGATTGCACGGCTCAGATTGCACGGGCCAGATATGGCCTAGGCGGGGAAGAAGATTCCCGGCCTAGGCCCAGGTTGCGGCCTGGGACGCGTGGTTCGCCGCGCAGGCGGGGCGGCTGCGCGCGTGGAGCGCGCTGGGCCGCGGGCCGTTTTTGCATTGGGCGAAAAGAACAGAACCTTTTTCGTCTTAATTTTATTCTTTTCAGAAGCAAAGTTTGGATGATTTTTAGTCAAATTTAAAAGTTTAAATCTCTATTAAAATTTGAACCAACGGAATAATTTTTTTTCAGAGAGTAGATGAGTACAGAAAAAAATGCTTCAGGAAAGTAGATAAATTTTATATTCATGTTTTCGCTGCTATGAATATGTTTATTCTCTAATTAAATTGGAACCAACGGGGAAATTTTAATTAGAGGAGTAGTCAGATTTATTTAAGTTAAATTATGATATTGTTATTTTTTCTGACCAACGTTGATGATAACAATATTATAAATTTATTTATGAGTTTTATGCTTTAGTTCTATTTCTGTCAAACGGTGATGTAGAAGAATGTTCTATTTATGATATTGCTATTTTTCTAACCAAAGTTGATGATAGCAATATTATAAATTTTATTCATGAGTTTTTTCATGCATTAATTCTATTTCTGTCCAACAGTGATGTAGAATTAGTGTAGAAGAATATTGTATGTTTTCATTTTGACCAACGTTGAACTAAGGCATACAATTATTATGTTAAATGTTTCTTACTTTTTCTGACGTTGTTTTCAGGCTACAACACAATGACGTTTATCTCGTCCATTTCGTCTCTCAATGGGAGCAACTATAACACATAGCGAGAGAAGCTTGATATAGCACTTGCGCTCTCTGACAATGATCTAGCACTTATCTCTCCGTGTCCCACTGAACTTGTGGACCCGGTGAGGGCAGAAAATGAGACCAATGCACCTTTCGCTACTCGACAACGTGACCATGCAGAAGTGAGAATGAAGTACGATCTTGATCGTACGAAGTGGGATAGTTCAAACCGCAAGTGTTTGATAGTGATTAAGGGCTCCATTGAGGATCTAATAAGGGGATCAACCCTAGAATGTACCACCGCCACTAAGTATCTTAAGAAGGTGGAGAGTCAGTTCACTGGCTCTTCAAAGGCTTATGCAAGCACTCTAATTAAGAAGTTAGTCAATGAGAAATACTCTGGTGGAGGGATTAGAGAGTACATATTGAAGATGGGCAACACGGCATCTAAGCTCAAGCCAATGGACTTAGGGCTCAAGGATGAGTTCCTAATTCATTTGATTTTTGCTTATTTACTCAAAGAGTATGAGACTTTTGTTGTGAACTACAACTTACAGCTAGATAAGTAGGATATTGAGAAGCTCATTGCAATATGTGTGTGTAACAGAACCGACCAATTATACGAAATTAAGTAAGAGAATCATCCACCAGAGCAGACGATTGAACAAACTTAAGCCCGTATAACCCGGTAGTCCGTGAAATCACAAAGGATTTCAAACCAACTCGTGTCCCAGCCATGATCGTAATAAGTTTAGCGGTCACCATCACATATTACATAAAAGTTCGCAATCTCAGATACATCAGAGTTTAAACATAGTTATTACAAACCAGTTCGAATAAAAGTAGCGGAAGTCATTTGTTCAAACCACACACACACTCACGCGGAGTTTAAATATAGTGCCGGTGAATGATCATCTCCAACAAAAAACATTAGATGAGGCGTAAGGAATGACCATGCCCATGGTACTAAACATCACCCATCGCAGGATAGAGGCGGTTGATACAATAGCCGTAATACATCCGCCCATCTCGCAACAAGTGGGAATAAACCCACGAGTACGAGAAGGTACTCACCAAGACTTACCCGACATAACCGAAAATAAATGACACCAAGGAATTATGAAGGCTTTATAGTAGGGTAGTTGATTCATTTGCAAAAGAAGCATTTTAGCATTTCAAGAACCTTTCTAAAAGCATTATTGTCAAGTTTAATTATTATTAACACCGTCGACTAGATTTGCACCTATACTAGAGTAAACATGTGATTAAGCAATTAATGATAACCACCGATCATTAAACAACTTCCATCTTGTCATATTCACTATAAGCTGTCCAAGTGTTCCATAAACATTTACTACGATGAAGTCACTCAAGTCAAGTGCTCACTATCCGGGAGAGCGATGGCGATTCGAATCGATTCCTAACCACCGGTGGTGATTTATTCCTTACACAAATCTCACTCACCCGCTAAAGTGAGATATTGATCACCGAGTCAACTTTCCGGGTATCTCGAGTTTGCCAGAACCACATGTACCGGGGCCGACCGATCGCACTTTGGTCTTATCATCCCGCTTCGTGTCCTACCACACACACCTTGGCCGCGGTCTGACAAGGCATGGGCAATCTACTCGCCCGAAAAATCTCCCAACTTCAGCGGTCGGAAGGTACTTTATCCGCCCGCTAAATGTAAGGCATCGTTCAACATGACTCGAGGCCCAACAACGGTCGGTCCTTAATCGACCTGAGACGGAAACACTACGGTCCAAAACTCGCAAGTCTCGCCCGGTCTCAACTTCATTTAACACTTAGTTATACCATGACTTCATAGCCATCCAAACAGATCCGTGTAACCACCTATAGCTCGCGGTGACAGAAATCACCCGACTTCTACCGGTCTAAGCCCACTAAGCATTGACTCGATTGCGGATACCGTGGTAACAAGGATATAGTATAACAAAGGTAAACAAGGTATAATGCAAAGAACGGTTGCAAACAACTCCTGAACGTAATGCATCAATTTAAAGTAAAGTATTTAATGAAATCATTGCAAACCGGGAGAAAGATGCTCGAGGCTTGCCTCTCTCGAAGAGAGCTCGGGACGGTGATCGGGGCACTCGGAAGCTCCTCAACGTCCTCCTCTCGTAAACCACGGCACTTCTCTGGGCACGCACTCGAATCGCTCCTCGGGCTCCTCGGGAATGACGATTGGGTTCTCGGTTTGCGATCTGTATGATGCAATGCGTGTAAGTGCCTATGCAATCGGTGCATCGAAGGAGATGAATGCAATGGATATGTTGAAAAGCAAGGTAGTCACATCATCCAAGAAAATATACTACAAGCACATGTCATCTACTGCATTCTCTTCTACTACTAATAGGTTAAGTCAACACATCTTATTAAATGCTTCAAAGATACACCAAAGCTTTACTAATTTCTTAATCACACTTAAAGCAACACTTGCTTAAACCCTAATTAATAATAGGTTTGAATAGCAACATATATTTCTGATGCTTCTAAAAATCTGAGAAAATTACAGTAGCATAATACTACCCTAAACAGACTACCATAAAAATTTCATGGCATTTGGATAAGTAAACTATCCTACACAAAAATGACAAGCTATAGCATAAAAATGAGCATGAAATTACTTTGTACTATGAAAAGTGTCAACCAACAGATTTAGTATTTTTCCTAAGTTCTAAACAGTTAATAATAACTGTACAAAAATTACCACATGCATGTTTTATACAAATTTTGCTCTCTAGCAAAAATAACAAAATTCAACCATTAAAGGTACTTGAACTACACCTCAAAATTTTCCCACAGCACATGCATGAAACATATTTTTCCTAGGAAGTACATTACATAATAAGATTAACAAACTTGAAATCATATTTTTCTGAAGCCTATAGATTTTTCTACATATTTTTCAAGTTATCAGCAATATCCATGATTAAATAAAATCCTACAGAAAAATATCCCAAAAATGACATGCAATAATTTTCCCAAGTAGATCTGATGATAAGGAACCTAGCAAAATTTGTTTCAACAAATTTGGAGCAAGTTTGATCACCCAAATATTTTTCAAACCATTTCAGATTTCAATTAACAAATAATAAATGGAAATCAATTCATTTAAGAAATCTGGGCGGCCCGGGGGGAACAGTTGGCCCACGGCCACACAACCTGCCTGCGCGCCCGAGCGCCGAGGGAAGGAAGACGACGCCCAACAGGCGTCAACCACCACTTTGGCTCGGCTTCGCCCGGCAGTAGAGGTGGTGCCTCGGTAAAAGTCTGTATTTGGGCGACGACAATGCAACTTTCGGCCAATGCGGCCGGCGGCCATCTCGGCCACGGCGGCAGCCGTGAAGCGAACGAAAGCGCAGGAGTTGTGCGAGGCAATGGCGAAGCAGCAGCAGCCAAGCACGGCCGAGAAAGGGAGGAAGAGGACGCCCACGCCGGCCGTAAGCACGCGGGCGCCATGGACGTCGGTGGCGAGGGCGGGAAGCT